TCACGGGGTTTTCCCCAGGGATTCCTCGTTTCCAGAAATTCTCCTTCGCAGGGTGAGAAGCGATTACTCTGAAAGGGCCGAGGGAGGGGTAGGGAGGGGGCTGAAAATCCCAGCCGGGAGGCACAGAGCCTCGGCAGACGCGCGGCCCTGGCCTCGGCCCCGGAAGTTACCGGCGGCGGCGGACCGCAGCGGCGACGGCGGTAGCAACAGCAGGACCGTGGGAACCTCTCGTGACGCGCAGCCTCAGACCAGCAACCTCCGGAGGTTCGCCTTGCAGTGATTGCAGTGCTGTGACCTCCGTCTCCTTTTTGAGGGCCGACTGCGCCACGCTGATAGGTGGAACTTCGGGGCGGGGCTTCAGGGAAAGCCAATGGGAGGTGGGGGCAAGGCCTGTGGGCTAGAGGGACGGGACTACAAGTCCCAGCATGCACCGGGCCTAAGTGCCCAGGGGTCCAGGAGCTAGTGGAGGTGAGTGCCAGATAAGCTAGGTTACCTGAAGTCCAGGGGTTTGGAAGAACCGGAGGCTTAGTGGTTCCAGACATCAAAACTAGCACGCAGAGCATTTTAACCCGTTCCTCTTCTCTTCCCACAGAGAAAAGATGCTCCGGCCCAACATTACTCCTTTGTTTTCTTTCACTATAGTGCCCTTGCCCCAACCTGCTTCCTGTAAAAACCTCCCATTTTGTTCAGCCCCTCAGAGAGCCCTTCTAGTTGCTGGATGGGATGTTTCTCCAGTCATGAATCGCTTTAAAAGCCTACTAGATCTTTACATCTAAACGGCTGAATTTTTTTTTAAACATGTTATACTTCAATTGCAGTATTTGTTTAAAAACAAGTCCAGTTTGCTTGTGGTGGGGACAATTGACTAAGGACCCTCGCGGCTTAGGCTAGTACCCTGGAGCCTGTTCTTACTTGTTTCATTTCATGAATTAATTCATTTGATCTCTACAACAATCCTAAAGAGACAGGCTAGTACAGTGGGGCCTTGACTTACGAGTGTCCCAACTAACGAGTTTTTTGAGATACGAGCTGTCTCTCGGCTGATTTTTTGCTTTGAGTTGCGAGCTAAAATTCGGGTTACGAGCCAGCTTCAGATACCCCACCGCTAGTTGGCGCAGCGAACGCCACAACATCAGCCCAGCATTCAATTCATTGTAATGGTGAAAATTAATTTGACATACGAGTAATTTGAGTTACGAGCTCCGTCACGGAACGAATTAAACTCGTAAGTCAAGGCCCCACTGTATTCCAGGACAAGTGGAAGAGGGAAATAGACAGTTAAACACCAGTTTGTAGCCATCTAGTAAATCCTATATTCCCTAAACCAAGGACACTTAAGAGTAAATGGTTTGGCCATGGCGGGTGTGGCTCAGTAGGTTGGAATATCTTCTGGTGCACCCTGAAGGTTCTATTCCTGGTTAGGGCATATATCCAGGTTGCAGGTGGGATCCCTAGTCGGGGTGTGTAAAGGAGGTAACCGAGCAATGCTTGTCTCTGACATTGATGTTTCTCTCTCTCTCTAAAATCAATAGAAACATATCCTCAGGTGAGAATTAAAAAAAGAATAAATGGTTTGCACTTCTCCCTAACCAGAGGGTAAATAGCTTAAAGTGCCCTATTCAGGGAGACAGATAGCAGAAATCCAATTAGTGCCATTTGCCAACCACACCCAAGGACAGATGAAGTTAAGAGAATCTACACTAATAAAAGAGAAACATGTAAATTGGTGTCACTCTGCTACGCCTACCAGCCAATCAGGATGAGTATGCAAATTGACCCAACAAAGATGGCGGTTAATTTGCATATGCAGGCGCAAAGCAAAGACTGAAGACTGAAGACGCTTGGCTTCTCCGCTGTGGTCAGAGTGGAGAAGCCTCCAGGCTTGGCTTCTCCGCTGTGGCCAGAGCAAAGGCCTGGGTCCCAGGTGCCAGAGGAAAACTGGTGCTGGCAGCCAGGGGAAGGAAGGCCTATTGCACGAATCTCTTCCTGCAACGGGCCTCTAGTAAATCTAATAAATCTCATTGTGGTATATCAGCATAAAGCTGACAAATAGTCTATTGAGATCCTCCCCTAAGACCTACCCTAAATGCCTAGCCTTTGAAAACCCTTAAAATCAAGGTTCCAGGGTATGCTCTCCCTAAGCCCTAGGGAAACTGCGGCTTTCGAGCCACATGCAGCTCTTTGGCCCCTTGAGTGTGGCTCTTCCTAAGCCTTAGGAGTGCCCTAATTAAGTTAATAACAATGTACCTACCTATATAGTTTAAGTTTAAAAAATTTCGCTCTCAAAAGAAATTTCAATCGTTGTACTGTTGATATTTGGCTCTGTTGACTAATGAGTTTGCCGACCACTGCCCTAGGGGATGCCTTCACCTTCCCCCTCCCTCTCTCCTTCCCCAAAGGCATGCATCTCCTAAACTCTAAGGGACCCCATGAGGCTTACAACCAGGACAGCAATGGGCAGTTCGTCCCAGGCAAACTCCCTGAACCTGTCCCCAAGGCCCTCAGAGGGAAGGCAGGGAAGGGTGTGCAGGTGGGAAGAGATCAACCAATGAACGTGTATGCATATATGCATAACCCATGGACACAGACAATAGGGTGGTGAAGGCCTGGGGTAGGAGGTGGGGGCCAGCAGGGAGAGGTCAATGGGGGAAAAGGAGATATATGTAATACTTTCAACAATAAAGATTTAAAAAATTAAAATATTATTTTATATTTCTAAAATTTAGCAACAATACTTGGGGAGAGTGTGGAAAAAAATAGGTGAGGTTTCTCAACCTCAGCAATCCGGACATTTGGGGCCTGGTAATTCTTTGTTGTCTGTGAAAGGATGTCTCCACAGTGTGGACAAAAGGGGCCACATGCTGACCTGACAAGCTCAGGGAAGGCCTGCATGGTGGTCTTGCAAACTCAGAGACCTAAAGTAACCACAAGGACGGTCTGAAATTAAACTTTCACTAAAAGCAGTTATGGTGGGTAGTTACATCCTAAGCCGGTATCTTCACTGACAAGGTCAACCTTTACCTTAACTGAGCCTATCTGTCTTTTTGCATCTATAATAACATACCTTTGAAATGTCTGGGTAACTTGTAACTTCCCTTTTTCTGGACCC